CCATTTCACACATAAAAGCAAGATGCTAATTGCCTGCTATGGAAATATTGGGCCTGTGATTAGCCAGGCAGAAGGTTTGGCTGGCCTGTCTCTGTGTGAAACAGTGTCGAGCCAGCATGCCCGATGCAAAAAAAATTTAAAAAATAGAAAAGTGCGGTAGTCAGCGGTGAAAGGAAATTCATTTTTCCCATCACTCGCATGCGGAGCAGGGTTGAAAGCAGGAGGACTGTTATTGTGCTCCAGTGGCAATTTGTCAGACTGCTATGTTGGCAATAAGTTGACAGAAAATCAGCTTGAGCAAAATTACAGAGAAGTTATTTCAATTACTTTTAGGCTAAGTTGGTGTTTTGCTGTGACAATGACATTATAAGGTTTAAATATTTGGACTACATTCAGTTAATAAAGAGGTGGGGTTTGGGAGTGGGAGGGCACCAGGTTGATACACATGATTAATCGTGTTCAGGTAAAGTGTTGTTATCGCCAATGATTAATTCACCCGAGGCCTTTATTAAGTTCTCCCCCTTGTGACCCTCTGATTTATTATCTCATTCACTAAGTAGTTTGCTGATAATGGCCACACATAATCATCTAACAAGACAACAGGGGTTTGTTAATGGACTCCATCTAGAGACCCATATACATATGGAAATGAGACCCAGTGGGGGAATTTGCAGGACCCACTTCCAGCTTCTGTGCCATCTAACGGCTTATTTTCAAAATATTTTCTCCAATTAAACCTCAACATGGCGAGGAAAATGCGTTTTGTAAGCGTGCGTGTATGTGCTTTGTCATATTGTATCCGTAAACTAGCTAAACACAGCTTCCTTGGGAACCTCGAGCTCTTTTCTGCGCACTTCAAATTGTGCTTGGTTATTTTGATAACTCATTCAAAGAAAGTCACCTGCCATTTGACCTTGGTTTTTGTCCCAACCAGCGCTCTTTGAAAACCTTGGCGGATATTGAAATGCTCTTTCAGACAAGTTCTCTTTGCAGTGGCTCCTCAAGAGCTTTGTCCAAGATGTTGGAAAAGCTGGAGATGGTGGTGAGGGGGGAAGGCTGCTTTTTTTCCCAACAGTGGCAGCAGTGGAGTGGCAGCGGTAGTGCAATGATTGGTGGTGACGGCGGCAGTGGTGGTGGTGGTGGGGAATTTGGGGACAGAGAGGGGTGCAGGTCGGCTGTTCAAAGGCTGGCTTTTTACATTGTTGGTCAGTTGGGGATTAAGGTCCTCTGTGCAGCAGAATAGCCCCTCTAATTAAAAAGGATAAGAAGGCAGAAAAATAGCGAGAGGCACGGGAGGAAGCAAAGAAAGAGGGAGAGGGGAGAGCAAATTTGCAGAGAAAAGAAAGAAAAGAAAAACTGTTTTCAGTGTCACTCCCGCAGCCGGGCCCATCAATTCAGACTGGATTAACTTTACACTCCTCCTCCTCATTTCTCTCTGCCACTCTCTCTCCCCAGTCTCTTTCTATCGAGCAGTTTCCGAACTTTGCTCTCCACATGCACTTTAATCTTTTGAATGCATGCTTTCAAAGCATTTAGTTGACCTCATAAAGAGCTTCACCTGTATATTTCTGGGACAATCTTACAGGAAAACTTCACGTGTCATAGCTAAAGATGATGTAACAGTTTACCAATTATAGAAGCAAAACAAACCAAAACCATAGCCAGGAGCTAAAACCAATTACCAGCACCAGTTTCATTCTGCTAAAGGCTTGAATTTGTGTGTTAGGCTGCATTGTCTGTTTGCTGCTCACTATTTGCCATCATCAGAATGTGAATAGAGAAGGCTGTGTGCTGTGCCCCAGATGCTGGCTGTCAGTAGGTGGGCTGTTTGCCGTGGGGATGCCAGGTTGTGTTTTTGTTTGACCCTCCTCTGTCCCGCCTGCCTCCCTCCCCTCAACTGGTGGGGGGTCCTGGGCTCCTGGGGCCAGTCCCTGCTGACCAATACCCAGGTATGAGGCCTCTCAGTTTGGCTAACACTATAGCCACAGGCCGTGGGAGGTTAACGAGGTACCAGCAGGCACTAGGCATTCAACTCTCCCATGGGGAAACCACAAGTGGTGGATGTATCTCAATGAAGGGCATGAATATGATGTGATATTAGCTATGACAGCCATGAGGCAGTGGACTATAATGGGAAAATTGTAATACTGTGCTGCAGGTGCAATATGAAGTACAGCACTGACACCAAACTATCAAAGAAGAATCTCCAAAATGTCATTTCACCGGAAAAGTACATGTAGCCGAACCACGCTAGCATTTAAAGGTGTTAAAATTTGCTATTTTATTTAATGTGTTGTTGCAATAATTGGATTTTGTCATGTAAATCTGAGCATGGCAATAAGTCCCCAGCCACACAGGCCTGGAGACTGGTTCTCTACCATCTATCAACCACTCTTTGCTAGGGAAAAATGTGTGCTCCCTGACAAGCTGGCAAGTGCTTGTTAGAGGTTGATGGTAGTTTCTGGGAAATCAGCTGCCTAAAACACAGTCCCAAAGGCCTATGGTCTGATCAGTGGCTATGTGTATTCTCTTACTGGGGGGGCAAATGTCTAATTGCAATTCCTTTGGTCACTAGTACCTAGCTGTAGTCACTCTGCAAATTTTTTGCTAACTACTAGCTGAGCAGTAGTAAAGTTTGTCTCTGGTTTGCATCCTGTAAGTCGTACAACCACTCGGCTAGCAGTTGGCCAATGTTTGCAGACAACCCAGCATCTTCCATGCAAACTACGAGTGACCTCAGCAAAGCAATCATAAGGAGGTTTTTGATGTAGCACCATCTTTGGTGCCAATTTTACCTGGCAACAGCCAGCAACCTCTAGCAACTATTTACCAACCATTTGGGGAGCAAACATTTTTCTCTCCCAACCAATAAGACACAAAAAGCTCTATACACTTTTTTTTGCCAGTGTGACTTCACATTTGAGTTGCTGGAAAACAGCTCCCCCTCACAGGATAAGAAGGTTTTTGTCTCCGTTGTTCAGCTGCTGCCCAGAGCCTTCTGTTAGTACAATAGTTAAATATCGAGGGACGCTCGGTTTGTCTTCTTGTAATCATCAATACATGTATGGCTTCTTCCACAATGTCTATCAATAAAGTTATCATTGTCAGGTGCAGATGGCAAAAGAAAAAAAAATCACGATAATGTCCAATATAGTTTCCCCCCCATCAGCGTGTAACAGATGGGATTGACAGAGTGGGCCAAGTCATTGATTTGACCTTGATTTAGGCCTAGACCACTGAAGTGAGAGGTAGTCAGAGGAAATAAAGATTAAGAATATTAATCCATGAAGCGATACAATTTGGTATATTGTGTTTACATCATGTAAATGTTACATTTACCCCCATTTATACCCCATGAATTAAGAGAACAAACTCTTTCATTAGATTGTGATTATGATATCTTTAAACAAATGTTTAATATTTAAAGTCTGTCACCCTGATGTACAAGGAACAAACAAATGGGTGCTGGAAAAGAGAAGTGGCAGCAGCTCAACATACTTCCCTCATGCCAGCATTATCCAGTACACTCTGAGAGAGAGCAGCGTTGCAGTCCCACGATTCTTAGCCTTCAATTCGTCTCCCTAACAGCAGGAGAAACCGTGACTGCGTCGATTCGCCGGGAGACAGGGGGAGGGCATATTGCCACAGACATTAACAAGCGACTTCACCTTTTAACAACCACGGCTCCGTTTAGCTGAAACGCTCCCCAGGGCTGTTAGATATTTTCCGATGAATTATATATCAGAGCTGAAGATGAAAGGACTCTGCGTGAGCCAAGAACATCGCTGTGGGACAACAAGGAGACCAGATATTTAAGCCCGGTGAGGCTGTTTGTTTTAGCGTGCATCCATGAAGGCAGAAAATGGGAAAACTCCACGGCCTGCAGTGAAACTGTAAAGGCTATAGGCCTATAGAGATTTGGAAAGATCCAGAAATGACCAAAGTAGGCACTTTTAAAAAAAAAAAAGAAGAAAAAAGAAGGGTAAAATCACAGTTTTATTTATTTATTTATTGATTGATTTTAAAGCCTTTATGCAAGGAATTGACACGAATGGTGCTGAGATTTGCTGTAGCAGCACACAGAGTGCAGGCCTTATTGATTTCAGGCTTGTCTAACAACCCAGCAGCCTCGCAGTCTGTTCATCTGGCACATAGACTCCTAATTAGTTGTCTAACCTGCTGTTTGTTTGGGAGCATCAATCAAAGCCTTCATTTAGGGATGAGGAGGCCAAAGTTTTGTCGGAAACTGATGATTTTTTTTAAAATCCAAACCGACCTGGGATCCAGGATTAAGCCCGAGCACAACAGATGAGCGAAAAGAAAAGAGCATAGAGGGATTAGCTTTAGTGGTAATCTAATCCCGAAATGCAACCTGCACCTCCTTCCTACAACCACAGAATTTTTTTAAGCACACACATTGCTCAGGATTTGACTGTAGGGAGTGGGGGCGCAAAGTTTCAACCAACATTTACATTTATTTTTTCTTCATATGTTCTTCATGGAGTTACACAGAATCAAACCACAACAGATCTCTCCGAAATTATTATTATTATTATTATTATTATTATTATTATTTTTCTTATTTTTTAATATTTTGTCTTCAGCCTCCATGTCAATCCATCTACTATAATTATGTCATAATAGCACAGCTGGTTTATTGTAATATTTGATGGTCACAGCACTGATGGCAACACACCTTAGCCCATAAATACCATGCCATATTTTACCTGTGTCAAAATATATCAACGTATATGTAATTACATTATTTTTTAATTCCCTTTGCTGGGCATCAGCGATGCTTCGGAGCCAGCAATAGGCCACTTTTCTCCAACTGCATCTTTTGATACCCCCCTGCCCATCATATTTTGTCTCATTTCCATTGGCTGCTAAAATTCTTCGCCCCCTCCATCTCTTCCTTCCTTCCTTCCTTCCTCTCTCTCTCCTCTCACACACGTTTTTTCAGCATAAATACCGAGCATCTCTCGGTATTATCCACATCCAAAGGTTTACCGCAGGCACATAAATCCTTCACAGGCCCATGACCAAAAACCGAGCGCCTAACAACTGAAGTAAGTGGCCCATTTAACTTCCGCCGTTAATTTAGATTGACTCTATTTTTTTTTAATTATTATTATTATTTTTTTTTTTAATTGACAATGAAAGCCACTGGGAGCTGCTTGCCATGAAGCTAGCCTACAGGGAGATAATTGAGGAGGCGTGCTCAGGGGGAAACTTTTTTCCCTGTCTTGCCTCTGCCGGGCTGCACGCCTGAAGCAAAGACGCAGTGAGCCGAGGAATAGCGGGACTGTGGAGCAGTCCGCAACTTGTGGACGTTTCAGTAGAAGCCTTGGATAGAATTAAGCTTAAACACATCGAAATCAGTTCGTTTTTTGTATCTTATTCAGGGGGAAAGCCCCTCAGATTATTTATAATAATAACAACAACAACAACAATAATAATAATATAATACAGCTTTAATTACAACCTGCCTGATTTGTTTTTTTAAATGTGATAGCAGTGCATTAAAAAACTTTGTTTAATAATAATAATAATAATAATAATAATAATAATAATAATAATAACAGAGGCCCACATGAGCGTTTGTCAGTTTGGGAAAGTGAGTTGTGCGGCTGGTTGTGATGGGGCTTGGGGGTAATGGGGGGGGGGGGTGTCTGGCAGTCAGCTGGTCTGATAAATACAATGCCAGTCTTTGTTTTATTTTCGTGACGCAGAAAATTAAGGAAGCCTGAATGCGGAGTCGTGGCTGGCGTCCTGTAATCAGGCCAGCGCGTGCCGTCCGGATTATCTCGTTAATTTCTTACAGAAGGAAGAAAAAGGGGAGGAAAAAAATATACCAGCCAATAATAATTAAATATCCAGGCAGGGTATTTATTATTGAACGGGGTTGAAATAAAGCGACAGATTGAGCACAGGAGTGGCCGTTATGTTGGCTGTATAAAAACGAGGGGTCCGGCTCGGAGCGCCCCGAGTCCTTGTAAAACTTGTAAAACTTATTCTACAGGTAGGTGTAAGTGGAAACGAGAGGCCTCGGACCGGCTGCAGATGTCTGCGGAAGTTAGCCCAATATATTAGCAATTAATAAAATATTAAGGTGTGCTTATCATCTGATCAAAGAGTAAGTATGTCTTTAACAGGACCCTCGAAGTAAAACTGTCACATAATGCAAAATGTTTTTTCTTTTTTTTCTTTATTCGATTTTTAATTTAATGTATTTTTATGTTTGTATTTATTTGTGCAATTTAAGAGTTTGTTTTTGAATGCCTAAATTTTTTTAAAAAAAATAGCTTCCACGTGAGGTTGAAATTAAAATGCTATTTCTTTTTTTTTTGGGGGGGGGGGGGGGTTGTTGTTGTTGTTGTTTTGCTCGTAAAATTGACCTCCTCTAAAATGATTGACCATCAACAGAGAAGGCTATCTCTTTGTTTGTTTAGATTAAGTCCTCCTCTCTAATCAACACGTTTCGATAGTCTCACCTTTCCAAATCTAATTCATTAAGGAAAGAGGGTGTGTGTGTGTGCGTGTCCATACTTCAAGGGGGAGTTTCAACCTTCACTTTGGGGTAAATGTCTCCGTGTTTCAAATTATCTGTTCTTCGTATTTTAATGTCGTTACATTTGAATGCTCAGGGAGGTTTTTAATGGAAACAAACAAAGGGCCGGTATAAAGAAGTAAAGGTGCTCGGTTGTGTTTGAATGAGCTGCTCAGTTTGCAGCGCTGGCTTCTTTTGTTTGTTCCCTGAAGGCTTTTGTTATCAGCATTACTTATCGGTCAACACTGGGCTTTGTCTCTGCAAATGTCCCCCAATCAGCTGTCTATTTAGCTTCGCCCAACCTGTGGGTCTATGCTAATTGTGAGCCCGGTTGGGGCCCAGTGTGTGCGCGCATTTTAACGACAATGTTTTGTTTTCGGTGGGTACTAGTAGAGGAGGAGCGGAGTGTGTTTCAGGGGTGGGGAGTTGGAGGGAGGTGTGTGGGGCGGGGCTATAGTAGCAGTGTGTGTGTGTGTGTGAGGAGAGGGGAGGCACTGTGTATGGGGGGGGTTGATGGCGTAAACGCCTGTCAGCCAGACAGAGCATCTTCAGTCTGGTACGGACAGCTGGGGGTCTCCACTTGGCTTTAAGAGCACTGCCAGTTTAAGAGGACGCCCACTTCTTTAAACCCGGAGCTCTGCGCACGGAGCGCGTAAAAATTAGCGGACTGATTTCAAGAACTCACTTTAAAAAGAAAGAAAGAGGGCGAAAAAATGGTTATGTCTCACTTCAGATTCGCCTGGACGACTTGACTCAGTAAACAGAGACGCGACCGGATTTTTAAAAAATAAAAACAACCCTCTCTTCTGAGATATTTTTCTTATTTCTTTCCATTGGTGCTCCTTTGACCGACACTCAGCATGATGTCCTATTTGAAGCAACCGCCCTACACGATGAACGGACTGAGCTTATCTACCTCAGGAGTGGACCTGCTGCATCCTTCCGTGGGATACCAAGGTAATATACCCTGTAAGCCCGCAACCACTTCACGATAGAAAAAAAAACTGTCTCTTAAGGTGTCCAGCAGGTTTAAAACATTTAACGGAATGCTGAGTTATCTCAGCTGAAAACGCTGATAGTTGTATTTAATGCTCAGATGAGGATACGGAACAGGCAACATTTCTAGGTGAGAAGTTGCTGGATTCAAATCGTGCTAAAAGTCAGGATGTGCCAATAATCGCTGTTTTTCTCCCCATTTCTTATCAGCAACCCCCCGCAAACAGAGAAGGGAGAGGACGACCTTCACTCGGGCCCAGCTCGACGTGCTGGAGAATCTGTTCGCCAAGACTCGGTACCCGGACATCTTCATGAGAGAGGAGGTGGCCTTAAAGATCAACCTGCCTGAATCCAGAGTGCAAGTAAGTCGTGAGCATAACTGATAGCGCGAGCCTGCCGAAGGAGGTCGATATTTGGTAATTGTGTCAGTGAGAGGTGAGAGAGGCTCCCCATTCACATGAGAGGTTGACAACAACACCTCTGAGACTGTATTGTTACTTCCTCATTTATTCCCATTGGGAATGTGCTCACTTGTAATTCTAAAATAGGCTATATTTTTTTCCTCGCATTTCTATTTAATTATGGCCCATACTACTCCTACAGGGAAGTGAGATGATGAGAAAAACAGCTAATTTTTGTATTTACCCCACTGCGGTTACGTGTTCAATATTTTAATGTGTGAATTCTTTATTTATTTTAACATTATTTTTCATTATTGCATTTAAAAGAAAATGATACCTATAATAATCCCAGTAATTCTCTCTCAGGTGTGGTTTAAAAACCGACGGGCCAAACATCGCCAGCAGGCCCAGCAAACCCAGACTGGCGTGCAGAACAAGGCTGTCAGCAGGCCGGTGAAAAAGAAAGGCTCGCCAGTCCGAGAGGCCAGCTCAGAGAGCGGAGCCAGCGGCCAGTTCACGCCGCCTTCGAGCACATCAGTCCCGGCTGTGAGCAGCAGTGCTGCTCCCGTGTCCATCTGGAGCCCTGCTTCCATCTCCCCGCTCTCAGACCCACTGTCTACCTCCTCCTCCTCCTGCATGCAGCGCTCGTACCCCATGACTTACACCCAGGCGACGGGCTACAACCAGGGTTACACGGGCTCCTCGTCCTACTTCACGGGGATGGACTGCAGCTCCTACCTTTCGCCCATGCACCACCAGCTCTCCGCCGCAGGCTCTGCCATGAGCCCCATGAGCAGCAACGGGGTGTCTAGCCACCTGAGCCCGGCGTCGTCCCTCTCCTCCTCGGCGTATGGACCAGCGGGGCTCGGGTTCAGTGGCTCTGCAGACTGCCTGGACTACAAGGACCAAACAGCCTCCTCGTGGAAGCTCAATTTCAACGCGGACTGTCTGGATTACAAAGACCAATCAGCGTGGAAATTCCAAGTGTTGTGAGGGGTACGAAATAAATGGACAGCTGTCGTTAACTGCAGACTGTACAGGCAAATTAAAGCCCAAGGTTTGGAGAGGCAAGTGTGGCGTTTCCCCCCCTCACACACCACCACGACCACAGGCCCTAACTTCTACCTCGGGGCAAAGCATAGACGAGGACTGGCGGGCGGCTGTCTCGCGTGTTGGGCTAACTTATTAAAAATACACTGACTTCTTAACTTTGATCAAGGGAACGGAACAAATTTGTTAACCAAAAGTGAGGAAAAGGATCAAGAGATCGAAAGATCCGAATCCTAACTTGGTTGAGTTTGAGGGACATGGTCATGTTTTCTCCTTAGCTACTTAAAGACTCCCTTCTTGTCTTTTTTTTGTTTTGTTTTTATTATTAATTTTGCTGGATCGCTGAAGAGCCCCTTTGATGAAAACGCTGCGCAGGAGAACGTGTGCTTGCGCTGTGAGTGAGTGAGAGCAGCTCTGAACATAAACCTGGATGCACTATTTAATTTATGAGAAAATATGTGGAAGTTACGAGACAATCAGTCCATGTGCGTGTGAGCATAAAATCCCTGATGTGTTTATTTTGCCCTTGTGTCTGTATTTTTTTTGTACAACCTGTATGCAATTGCGCTTTGCGCAAAACCCGTGTGCCACGAGCCAGCTGTGAATTTGATAGTTTTTTTAATGTCTCGGGTGTTGTTGATAAATTATTATAAGGAGATATTAGTTAAAATAGGGAGTGCACGATGAATGAAGCAAGCAGTGAGGAATTTCACTCGAGCTGTAAAGGGCGGGGGGTGGGGTGGGGGGCAACAAACGAACACACTAAAATCCCAATAAAAACAACTTCAACTGATCCACCTCGGCTGCACTTGTGCATCCATCTGATCCATTTCTTGTGTTTCTTTCTTCTTTTATCACGTGTTGGAAAAACACAGTATTCTATCGCCTCCGTTTATTCAGTTCAGACATGAATGCCATCGTTTGCGGTTAATTATCTGAATTGTGGTTTCTTACTGCTGATCACAGCTGCCTACACAGTTCACCGTGTCTGTCACAACTACCCGGGCAAGGAGGAATTTGAATTATGACAGAGCTATGTTAATCCCGTCTCGTGAAAGCGGGTAATCCCAACATTTTCATTCACGCGCGCCACTGGCCCGTTCACACGGAGAAATGTGACACGGCTGTGCTTGCTCAAGAGTCCAGGGGCAAACACGAGCTTAAAGACAGGTTGTGCGCAAAATGTTCCGTTAAACATCAGTTTGGTTCGGAGGGTGTGTGTGTGATCATCCGCTGAAACGCCAGTGCAAAAACAAATAACACAATAAAACGCTCCCCTTCCTTAGAAATGAAGAAAAAGGGGAAAAGTAGTTTTCTCTAATTGAATATGTTGTAGGCCCAAACTCTGGAGGCTTTTCTTTAAAGACTATTTAGAGAGCACACATGACTCATTTCGAAAATCATATTTACCCACAAACGCTTTTATGCTTTCCTTGGTCCCTGATGAAGTATTCACTCTCAGTACGGTGTTATCACATCCAGCATCATGTGCAGTTGCTGACATATGGGTTTGTGTATAGTGGTCTTAAACCTATGGCCAGCCGCTTTGGGGTTTAAGGAAGAGAGAGCCCGTGCGTGGATTAAATCATAGGAAGGCTGATGTCACTCCTCTAATTAGGATGTGACATGAGATGTCAGAACGTTCATTGAAATCTGTGGCTTTTTGCTGCCACTGAAGGGTTTTGTATTATTCAGTTGACCCCCAATTAGCACTAATTGATGCGCAATTATGCTTCCGCAGAGGAACAAATGTGACTGCAGCCTTTTGAGCGCTCTTATCTATTTATTTTAAATACCTGTAACACTTTAAAGCTTCTGTGTTTTAATCAGATCGTTTGTAAAGAGAAAAGGCTTGAAATTAGCACAGGCTCTAAAACCTAAATGCAGACGACATTCGTAAGATAAATAATAGATATTATTAAAAATGTAGAACAGCTGGGAAATGATGAGTTGAGGAAGAATAAAATTATTTATATGAATAGGGACAAATCATAATATGAGAAATGTTGACTATAATTGATGGAGAAAAAACCCGAAACTGAGGTCTCAATATAATTCAATCCACGTATCTATAAAGAGTTGAGCTCCTGATCAGTTCTCGGATAAAAACAAACAAACAATACAAATCAGTGCAAAAACCTGTTCCTAATAAATTGCAGTCTGGATTTTTATTTTTATCGGTCACAACAGTGTCAAAACTCCAACAGGTTTTATAATAAATGTTAGCAAAAAAGCAGTAAGTCGGTCTTCCTGCAGCGAGGGGGGCAACCGGGAGGGGGGGCAGAGTATCCATTCGGTTTTAATTACGCACAAACGGCACTAAAGAGGACGTATGGGCCAGGCAGACGCGCTTCATTAATCCTCTCATCGCATTTGAGGATGTTCAAGAATAATAATAATAAAAAGAGCCTCTTCTTGGCTGAGAAGCCCGCACATTTTGTCGACCCTCGCCCCGAGGCAGGGCTTTCCCCAAGCGGCACCACTTCCTCTCGGCCAGGGATTTCCGGGTTTCCCCGCCGGCGAAGAGAAGATCCGAGTGGACGTGCGTCTCGATCCTACTTCACAGCGGCGACGGAGCGGGCACACAAACAACAATTAACTCCTGTTGATGGTGACAAAACGTAACGAGAGAAGGACACAAAAGTAGCCTGAAGTGCCACAACACACTTTTAGGAATACGGGCTTATTTAACAGGATATCACATAAATTTCACATGGGAGGAAAAAAGTTCCAATTTCATTAGCTTTCTGAGACACTGACGTCATTACAGACTTTTATTTCTTTTTTTAATTGACCAATAACGTAGCCTATTTGGTACTATATCAGTTTACTTTAGGTTAAGTAAAGAGCAGAGTGGATATTATTTTATTATAACAGTGTAATTACACACACTGTAAAAAAAAGAAAGAAGACACCGATGATGATGATATAAAGGTGGTCTATCTATGTATCCATCTGGTCATGACAGAGTCTGTATCAGTTCATTAGCACATGCATAAAAAAGATGTGCTATTTTGATTGACCCCTCTTGGTAACAGACCTAAATGCCCCTTGCAGACTGTAAAGAGAAATATCATAACACTAAATATTAAAAAACGATGTTCAGTTTATCAAAAGTGGCCTGTCTGATTGATTTTAAACCTCCAGTGCAGCTGCAGGGTGTTCCTGGCAGACGTATGACATACAACAATAAAGTAGCCAGTAAAGATATTTGGGCGACCCTCCTCTACATTTGAATACAGTAACCGTCTGTTTTGAGATATGGACCTGCTTCCTTCTACGACAAATAATGTAAGCACACGATGAACTGAACAGACTTTCTCGTAAAAAGAAAAGAATATTTTTCGAGATGAACGGCCAGTCGGTGAGAACATAACCGAAAACTATTGTTATGCATAAGTATGTGTCCTACATTCCCAGGGAGGCAATGTCTATCACATATCAGCACAGCAACACATACATAATTCATCCGCAACAACAGCACTCATGGAATCTCATTTAAATGAATGAAACAATAGTGTTTCTGTGCTGTCGTCAGACTGGCGGTTGAGAAATATGCTAAATGGTTCAAAAAGTACTAAAAGAGTGTTAACACTTCATGACCTTTTCTATCCACGTTAATCCATGTAACGTTTAGAGTGATTTCATCTCATGGATTACACAATTTGATAAGATTAGACTAAATTCTATCGGATGCACACACGCTAAATGTCGCCATGTGTTGCTTTAATGGGACTTAAAGCGTGGCAGAACACTCAACTAGGAGCTCACTTTAAAGCAGACCTCGTTTTAAATTTGCTTTCATTTGCACCTCGTGTCATTCTGGTGTAAATGCTCGCTGCTACTGTCTCATGAGCTGCTTTAACTGTAAATGCCGCTGTTGTTCCTGCTAGAAAAAAGCTCAGCAGTGGTGCTTTGACTCTGCACTTCAGCCATCATACTGCCACAACAATAAAAAGACTTTACCAGAAGAGCGTTAAAGAACATTATAAGTGTTTTGAGCAAAATGTGAGCTTGTTCTGCAGAATGTGACCTCTATGATTGTTAATTTACCATGATTAGACAGTTAATACTGCTGTTTAACACTATAGAGGGCTAAAGTAGAGATAGGTTACAGCACACTATATATATACAGTTTAGATTTAATCTAGAATAAATCCAAGAAGCGATTTAAGGGTCAGAGAAAAATAAAACTGGACAGTTTTTAACTCTTTAAGCTGCCTATAAAACCACAGAAGAAGAAAAAGGAGAAAGGCTGCTCTTAAAGGCATCATAAGTTTGACAATGGTTGTCAGCTGAAAGCCAAAAAGGTGTTTAATGCACTCACTGTATTTTTTTTAGTTTAAAATCTTAATCTTAAAAGTAACTTGTAACCATAGCTGTTAAATAAATATAATACGGTTTGACAGCTCCCCCTTAAAAAAGGCTGAAGTAGAAGCACAAAGCAGCCTTAAATGGAATTCGTCAGCAACTTCACATCAAGCAACTTTATTTAAATACATTCAGTGGATTTCACATTGGTGTAACATCCTTGTTTTTGCCCTCATTTTAGTTTACTTAACACATTTTTCTATACGTTTTCTGAAGATGCCATTCATGTTCCTCACAGTTAACAGGGACACGAGCAGATGCTGCCAATAACACACTGCTGCCCACCTACGCATAAGTGCCCTCCCTCATAATCAGTATGCTTATTTGGCTTTTTTCCAGTTTATGACAAAATTTGCTGGATAAAATGCACGCCTACCGGACCTCCTGAGTGTCGTTCTAATATTAATAGCTGCTTTCACCTTCTGTTGATGCTGTTTTGGTATTTTAATCGGGGCCCTCTCTGTGCAGGTTTCTAATTTGACGCCATCTCCTTGAATTACTTTTACAAACAAGCATTTATTTTCACTGCTTTGTGAGCAGCGGTGTTGTCCACTGTCATACTGAAATCTATGTATTTCTGCATGCAAACAGGCTTTTTTTTTGATGATTTTTTTCATCTTTTCAAACCATCCAGAGTAAGAAACTCATTTTAAAGGAATCCTGTAAAATAAATAAATAAAAAACAGAAATCGATCAGATACATCTGTACATCAATCTGACCCTATGATAACTCAATTTATGCAGAATTAACTGATTTTTTCGAGACCTGAGTCTGATACAAAATGCAAAAAAATGTTAGCAAAATATGTAGTGTTGGCATTTGGCCTGAGCTGGGAGTCTCCACCATATGGCCAGTGTTACACATGTGAGCCAGAAACATTCATAACGCTGCGACATGTCATTCCATGAAACACAGCACCATAAAAACACACATAAAACACAAAGCTGATTACAGGTTTAAAGAAAATCCAGCATATGTAAAGGAATGAATTGCCATTAGAGATTTAGTGCTATACATTAAAGTAATGCCGAGCTAATATTTCGTTCTTTCTTTCTTTTTTTTGTTTGTTTGTTTTCAAAGCATCCATGTGGCTTTAGCACACACCACCATGGATTATGTCCACCGTGGACATCCAGCCAACAAAGCACTTCTGCGCTCATGGACACAGACCATTAGCTGGGAAAAAACATAAATCTCCTTATAAGAGGAAAAAAGAGATGTTTTAATGACAGATTATATGCATTTAATGGACAAATTTACATCCATGAGCTGCAGCTAAAAGCGTTTGATGCAAACAGATGAATGAATGAAGCTCCGTCAAGGAAGTTACTGTAGAGCACACGGAAATGCCAGTGATGAGGAGGCCAGGTGAGTGCATACGCAAAAAGTTCGATGGAAACTGGCAT